GGATGTGCCAAAATCATCTCCCAAGTAATAGGTCAGTACTGAAAAGATTGTTCCATATGTTGTTGAGTTCGTCTATAAAAGATTGTCTCATTTCCTCTACTATTAATATGGTAACCATCATCCCTCTTTATTTTAACTATCTACGTACTTAATCAATACAACTCTTAACAAAGTACTTAAAAAAAAGAATCATATCAATATTGCAAGAAAACCTCAGCAATGACGCTTATAAACGGTATTAATAAATTGAAAACCTTCCGAAAGTTACAAGCATAAAATTAAGTATATCTTAAAAATTGACAATAGATTCTTGTCCGTCTTCCTTGCTACAATTCCTTGGAAAACAGAATGATTGTAGAATCCATCCATGCATCAATAGTAACAATAAGGCAAATCTTATCTGATGAGTACTACTAATACACTTTAATATAACTACATCAGAGCCATAAACATAATCATATAAAAAGCCAAACACAGACATATTAAGTTGCAATGAAAGAAGGTACAAATCTCAACCAAATCTATTAAATTTTAATAAAAAACTAATTATTAAAAAACTAATAATCAAATTACTACCTAAAACAAAGCACAAATCAATATTGGATAGACCACTCAATAAACAAAGAAAGTACCAACAAAAAATTTGTATTGGATCTAAAGAAAACCTCAAAAAACAAAACAATAATGAGAAAATTAAAAAAAAGCAAAGCAAAGTAATTATTTTCCCACTGTATCTCTTGGTTGGGGCAACAGCTGTAATTTGGCTCTTACAAAAAGAAGGGTTATAGTGCTGGAATCTAGGACTCAAAAAGCTCAAATATATAGGATTTATAGCCTTTTGGCTGAAAGCTCATTTTGTCCTCCATTGTAGCATGACCACTAGATGCAACCCCCATGATTGCTCATATGAAATTTCAAAACCTATATAAAAATATTATAAATAATACCGCCTTTTGGCCTGCTTCAAAATCAAATGAATGATGAACTTAAGATACTGGCCATATAAGCTTAGTGGACAATTATCTTCTTTAAGCAAGATTAATGCAACTACATAAGGTCTATCTGTCTTTGTTACTTCGACTCTTTATTTTGTCTTACAACCTAACTCTTCAATCATCCCGATTCACATTCATAGAGCCTATTTGGGAATTGATGAAAGAAGATGATAATATGTGAAGTATGCTCACAACTCACAAATAGGCTTGATATTATAAATTTAACTAGTTAATGTAGTCGTTCTAAATCGTATGTTTACACTTCTAAAAAGAAATGCACATCCACAAGTCTTTAAAGTAAAAAATGTCACATGAATGCCTTGTCTCTAGTCTCTCAACACCAAAGTCAGTTTTAGGATAGTGTCCCCGACCCATTTACATTGTAAAAATTTTTAGCTTTGACGTATCACTTGGGATATAAGTATATGACAACACTCGGACCATGTCTAGATAACATAGGTATTACTGTAGTTCAAAATTTTGTAGTTTTACTTATCCCTATAAATTTCAATAATAGATATATCAGCAAACGGAAAGGTTATGTCCCTTGCACAACTGCAAGGATTTGATCCCATGTTTCTGCATAACAGTTTGTTCCATTGAACCCAATAAACAGAGTATGAACTATTGCACTCACAAGACATTTGAAAGAGAAAGGATTCCTACCTATTCCTAGATAAATCTTGAGCAACCTCTAAAGAAAATAACACAATTGTGAATTTGTGATACATTTTTCATAAAAGCTAATACAAGGAAGATACCATTAAACCATAGAAGATGCCACATAATATGCTATAATTAAGCAAAATATATGATATTCACATACAATTAATAGAGTCTAAACTCTAAAACATACTTAAACCCTTAACAACCACAACGTGAGTATATAGTATAAAGAAGACATGTACACAGCAACAAAAATTGAACGAAAAAGACACATAGGAACACAAAGACAAAAACCTAACATGCTTATTAGAAACATCATTCAATTTCAACTCACACTCCCACAATGACTGCTGAACTATGTTGCTGACGAGCAAAAGAAACAAAATAATAATGGTAGTATTAAGATAATTAAATAGTAATCCAATTAAAGGTTAGTGGAAGTTTACCCAAGTATGACAAATTTATTAGATAACCAAAATCATTTCAGGGATGCCCCAGTGTTGGGATTTAAGAATCCTAACAGCCATGACCAGCTCATAAGCATAGGCAACAACCCAACCTTTTCCCTTTATATTGGATAAATCCTTCCTATTACAAGATGCCATCCCTAACGCTCAGCCCGTGTGGCACCGAAACATATGCACAGATGCACCCATACACGGTTACCAGCCACAGTAAAATTTAGTCTAGAACTCCTAATCTATTAAATTTTCACCATACTATTTATTAAGATATCAATGAAAGATAGGAAATTAAATTCAAAATCTCTGCCCTTTTTGTGAATAAGAGACACATCTTCAACTAGATGCCCTGGCCACTAAAATTTAGCAAATTAACAAACGTTAAAAATAAAATAAAAGGGCCCCAATGTAAAAATTCAAGGACAGAAAAGAAACATAGGAGCACTAATTTAAAGTGAACAATTAGCAAAAATAACATTAAATGATTTTATTGACCTTAATATGATGGATTTTTTGTTTTCCTCACAAGGCTAGTGTGCTTTAAAATCATAGATGCTGATGGTACTACATAGTGGCAGTGGTCCAAAGCTCTTCTTATAGGGCACATCCTTGTGAACATCACGTGACATTGAAGCCATAATAATTAGGAAATAAAAAGGACATTTGACTCTAAAATTAAAAAAGAAATTATAATTACTAGTAGTCTAGTAGAAAGCTAGCATAAGCCAATATAACCTTGTGTAAGGTAACTCTTGGATAAAATGGAGTTAGCTTTAGAAGAGAAGAAAAGGTAATTTGGTCTTTTTGTTATAAAATAATTGGCGAGCTGTTAATTGAATAGGTCATTTAAAGTTAGTAGGTAATTTTAATATATTACGACAACTCTACCCTTAGATGCAATACACGTCTAATGTATCCATAAACATGCTAAACAGTACAATTTTGGACTTCATTCAGTATATTTTTTTCCCTATATATGTACTCCCTCCGTTTCGTAATAATCGCAACACTTTCCTTTTACATTCGTTTCATAATAGTTGCAACACTTTTCTCTCTCCCACTTACCCCACTTGCATAAATATTTAATTATTTCTCTCTCTTACAAACCCTACTTAAACTACTTTTTTATTATTTCTCTCTCGTACTAACAATAAAATATATTCTCACTAAATATGCTTTATATTATAAAATTCACTCTATATTCCCTACCCTATAAATTTCCTAAAACTTTGTGCAAGGCTTTCTGTTGCGATTAATACGAAACGGAGGGAGTATATGAAAAGGTGCCCTAACGGCTAAAACCCCTCACGGGTCTATCTAGTCTAGATTTACAGGCTAGACACTTTGAGAGTGGGGGTAGGGTAAGGGGATCCCTTCCCCCAAAAGTGCCTCTAATAAGGATTAAACCCCAACCTTGATACTAGTCCAAGTTAGAAGATGCTCTCCTTCATACTAGTCTAAGTTTAGCTTGGTCTCATCATTCAAAATATTACTTGATGGAATTACACAAGTAAAAGATTGGGCTCTTGCCAGCATCCAAATATGAGTTATAATTCAATATTATTGACAAACAACTCTATTAGACTCGAAAGACTCGAATTCAATGCTTTCATTCTTTCAATCTAGCTTTAATTAACGACTACATAACTATCTTTAAACCATAACCTCATAATCTTGTAGGTTTCATAACTTTTATTAGTCCCATGAGTCTCGAACTAACATCCCATTAAAAAGAAATCTACTTCGTATAATCTCATTTCAGCCACTTTATCACATACATCGTCCTATTTATAAACCTCAAAAAAATCACTTACTTAATCTAGAAACTCAAGATTAGATGAAGCACAATGATACTATATTTAACCTATTTTATATATTTATAACATTTTATTCAACAACTTACTACTTGTATCATACAAGTCAAAAATCTGGTCACCAGAAGAAGACTTGAAATATTAAAGTATATTATTAGCACAATAAACGTGCCCACACCAGAAGCCAAAATAGTATATTATTAGCAGAAAATTAAGGTCAATAGCAGGACCCCACAAATCCAACTCAGAGCCACCCTCCTGGGAGTCCTATAGTAGGGGCCAACCCCGTCAATCGCTCTCCGATCAAAGATCTCAGCATCAGTTCTACTAAACTGCCTTCTGCAACTTAATTTTCAGAGACAGGTTTTTCCATTCTTGTAGACTGAATACACCCTAGGTTTTCTCCTTATTTGGGGATGCAGGACTTATTGCCTTAAATACGTAGGGCTAACAATTGGCTAGGTAAATTAGAAATAGCATTCAACTGTTTCATTTCATTTTCTAGTTACTTTTTATTCCTAGCTATCTATATCTATCATCAGTTCGAAGGATGATTAACCCAACACAATGAATGACGATTAAGTCCCTGTTATGTTTGACTTATTTCAAACAAAATAAGTTCGAGGAAAGTTCAATTCAAAAGAGTGTAAAAAATAGGTTGAGACATTTTCAAATAAAATAAGTTTAGATACTAAAAAATTTCATATTTAATCCAAAATAAAGTGTTGAGGATTCAACACAAATACTTAATTTGAAATGGGAATCTAGGTTACGAAGATATAAAAAATAAATAATGTTAAACCTCATAAAAACAACCTTGCACTAGTATCCTTCTTCCCAAAACGCCACCCTATTTAATGAGGATAACCACAATTATAACCCCAATATATGTCACCAACACCAAAAACATACCCCCTATGCATGATGATCAACCCAATTACTTTGACAAGTGTTTTAGCCCTCCTCCATAGACCATAACAGTTGAAAGATATTTAGTCCATGACAAGAGATCTTCCATTGATATATTGGGAGAATAATATACCTCCAAAATAAAGGGGGGAAAAAGAAAGAAATGATAGGGCAAGGACCAGGCAAAGACTTGATGGGTAGGGTAGGTGGGGGATAATCCACTTGAAAGGCATATTTCCCGAAATGTTAAATTGTAAAGAAAACTAAACACAATTGACACCTCTAAAACCAATTTAAGAAAAGTGTTTTTCCTCTTCCTGTGATTAATGTGCTAAAATTCCAAGGCCAGGTAAAGGGTTTTTGATCATCTGGTTTAAGACGATCGAATTTTATTCTTAATTCATACTTTCAATCATAATAAGCATAAAGGAGCTAGAGAGGTTATGGGTTGAAGATGTACTGATATGCGGTATGATATAACAGTTTTCTGAAAAACAATACACACATGCATACAGCATACAGTCTCGTACGAAAAACCACTACCACTAACATTTACGAAAGAAAATTCCTACATCCTTAAGCAAATATGAACACACATTTAAAAAATACAAATATAAACAAAAGAAAGAGAAAGGTAAAACAGTTGCAGCCAATCTAAGATCAACTTAGCAAAACCAGCCACCACAGCAAGTCTATAATGATGGCCTACAATTAATTAATAATAACATAACAGCAAGCAAATGTCAATCTCTTAATGAAGTTTCCACCACTTTGTAACATACGTGACCGCATTTGACTAAGGCCTTTCAAGGCACTCCCTTTAAATTCCCTCCCACACTGCATCTCTTCCACACCTCTTCTTTTCATTTACTTCACAAAGAAAAACCCAAAATTTCCCCAAATTTTAGTGCCTCTTCATCGTCTTTCACTTTCACAAAACTTATAGTTCGATCGGCATAAAAAAAATAAATAAAAAAAAACCATCGACAAAATGTTCTCGTATAAGTCCCTTAGACAAAGTGCAGCAGTGCTGCTAAAAGTTTTCTTAATTCTCTTGTTAAACTTGGCTGATCATAATATCAATCACTGCTCTTACCTTCCTCATGCTACCCCAGATTTCACAAACTTGAGCTCACTTGATCAAGTATCATCACTTAAAAAACTCAATCTAAATGGTCGTCTTGATTTCGAAAATATCCATCGGGTAGCAAATGACTTCGGTAACAGATACCATTTCCTTCCAATGGCAGTTCTGTTACCAAAATCAGTTTCTGACATCTCTACAATAATCAAACATGTTTTCAACATGGGCCATAATCCAGAACTCACTATTACCGCAAGAGGCCATGGTCACTCACTTCAAGGCCAATCGCAAAGTCATGGCGGCATAGTCATCAACATGGAATCATTAGAAGAACCAAAAATGCATGTTCATACAGGGGAACAACCCTATGTTGATGTTTCAGGGGGTGAATTGTGGATTAATATTCTGCATGAGACCCTAAAACGGGGATTAACTCCTAAATCATGGACCGATTACCTTTATTTGACCGTCGGGGGGACCTTATCAAATGCTGGGATTAGCGGACAAGCATTCCGACATGGACCTCAAATAAACAATGTCCATCAGCTAGAAGTTATCACTGGTAAGTTCTTAACTCATTACTCAACTTAAAGATATTAGAAAGTAAATACTTAAACTAGAATATCAAAAGAATAAATTCAGGAATATAATAATTTCAGCATGCTATTCATTTAACAAGGTCACATTTAATGCAGGAAAAAAATTTCAGGCCCATTTTGATTAATTATTTTCCTTTTTTCATGGGCTCAGGAAAAGGAGACATAGTGAACTGTTCAGCAAAACAGAACGCTGACCTCTTTTATGGTGTTCTTGGGGGACTAGGACAGTTTGGCATCATCACTCGGGCCAGAATCTCTCTAGAGCCAGCTTCCAAAATGGTAAGTATTCCATAATTTAACTGACTTTGGTGGTTGAATTATAAAGGTCCCTGTAGTCATCTTAACACACTTTCCTCACAGGTAAAATGGATTAAGGTGCTATACTCGGATTTCAACTTATTTACCAAGGATCAAGAACAGCTAATATCATCAAATAATTCATTTGATTATATTGAAGGCTTTGTCATAATAAACAGAACAGGTCTTATTAATAACTGGAGATCTACCTTCAGCCCCAGAGAGCCCCTGCAGGCTAGTCAATTTAGCTCAGAAGGAAAAACTCTTTACTGCCTCGAAATGGCTAAATACTTTAATCCCGAGGATGCGAACATTACAAATGAGGTTAGTATTTCTTAAAACCCACTTTTTTCATATGTTGATACACATGCAAATCATTCATTATTGAAACTGAACCTCTTGTGTCTTTCCAAATGCAGGAAACAGAACATATACTATCCAAATTAAATTATATCTCTCACACACTTTTCCAGTCAGAAGTATCATACATGGATTTCCTAAACAGAGTTCACCTATCAGAGATAAAGCTCCGAGAGAAAGGATTGTGGGATGTTCCCCATCCCTGGTTAAATCTTCTTATTCCCAAGAGTAAGATACACACTTTTGCAGAAGAGGTATTCGGTTATATTCTCACAGACACAAGCAATGGCCCGATCCTCATCTATCCCGTCAACCAGTCAAGGTACTTACTTTTCCAACATGTGCTTGTCTACTATTCCCCCTCATAGAGAGGACAACAATGATTTTTTTTTTTTTTTTAAGGGTAAGCACTAAAGTAGAATATGTATATTGCTTAACAGATGGAATCACAAGACATCAATGGTGACCCCAGCAGAAGATGTTTTCTACCTCATAGCGTTTTTAACATCTGCGATGCCATCTTCATCTGGATCAGACGGACTTGAAAGCATTTTAGCCAAAAATAAAAGAATACTTAATTTCTGTAAAATTGCCAAGCTTGGGGCAAAGCAATATCTTCCACATTATGACAGTCAGGACAGATGGAGAGCTCATTTTGGGCCTCGATGGGATGTTTTTACACGAAGGAAACTAGCCTATGACCCTCTATCAATTCTCACACCAGGGCAAAGAATCTTCCCAAAAGGAAGAGCCATTTCATGATACAGGCCATCATTTCAAGAACCTAATTCAAATTGGTCCGCTCAGCAGCATAAAAGAGGGAAGCAATAAAGCTAAAGTCTGTAAGTAGCCCATCTACATAGCTGGCACATCTTTCAGCGCCCTAGTTTCTACAAATTCACAAAGAAGTACAGCATTCATTGATTTACAATCTTGTTCTACACATTTTTCAAACAATTTTGAACAAGGCACCCATTTTTGTATGTTAGACTATAGATAAACTGATTCAATTGCTTATGCTAATGAGAATGTAAAGCTGAAAAGACAACAGAAGAGCAGAGAAATTAGAAAATTTCCATGGTAAAAAGAGATTACTGAAAAGGATTCTTAAATTGACCCACATGAAAAGACACGCAACAAGATTGCCTTTTGGCAGGCAAAGCAAGTCAAACAACAAAGCACACAAACATAAAGAACTAGACACACTGAATGTGTTACAAACGTACCTTTACCATAGTTTGTAACTATAGAAAAAATCTGAAAGAGATTTCCTGAAACAACACTTTCACTCTGACACTCTATTTTCACTCCAGCCAAGGCCTGGTCGGCGTTGCTCACCCTGGCACTCTTCATAGTCACGTGCATCAAGCAAAGAAGCTTCAAAGTCAGTTGAGTCGCTTGCGGTAGGAAGAAAACTACTTAAATCATCTCTGGCACCAAAACCTCCAGCTCATACAACATCATCAGGATTTATAGTAGCCTCCATATTCACATCTGTTGAATAGTCACATTGTTCAAGTGCTTCCGTTCGTGCAATATCTCTCCCAGATTGGGGATCAGTCATGCTGAATGGTACAGTATCTTCTGCAGAGAATGAATCCTCTGTAGGCATAAGCATAACATCCTCTTGAACCCTCTCAGATTTAGCTTCTTTTTTGCTCTGGCCATTGTCAATCTTATCTGAGTCACATAAAGCTCCTTTAGAATCATCTAGAGTAATAAAACAAAAGTACGAGATACTACAAAGTTCAAGGAATGAGGAAACTAAGAGTGATTTGTTACTAAATACATGAGGTAATCTTTAGATAATCTTGCCAAAACAACCACAAAAACATATTTAACACAAGCACATGCTGACATTTTCTTAAATTTGAATGGAAGTTTTCATTCTCTACCTCAGCACTCACTGGTACATTAAGGAACATCAATACTGTGACTACTTTAATGTTCAAGTCCAAATATACTGTATATACTATATACCAGTGGAGAATATAGAAACTCTTCAACAAGGGCAGTATAACAGATGTTTCAAGGCAATGCCTTAACTTGCATGCCCCCAAGATACCTATCATGTCAAGAGGGAGAACCGAATATCACTCCAAGCACTGCAATGCTATTAAGTTATTGGAAATTCATAATGTATTTTAGAGGCAGAGATGACTTTGAGCCAAGGCAAAAGACCAGGAACAGTAGAAAAGCACTATCACAAGATTACCAATAATGCTAATAACATGCAACTAGTTGAATTCACGGAGTGCAAATCTTTAAAGACACCTGAAACATCACCATTCTTTACTTATCTATCTTCTAAAGAATAGCCATAAACAGCTTTACAGCTTGACCAAAGAACATGATGCATAAGGAACATGTCAAGTTGTAATAATGCAAATCTCAAGAGTAAAGACAACGAATTGCCTATTCCAGTAATGGAACAATCTTCAACTAGACCTGCTAAAATTCCCTGTGCCAGATCACAGTAAATAACATATCTGGCACCAACTATTAATAATGACTAGCTAGCATCAGCAGGACACATAACGGTTCAATTTAAGAGGGAGTGATGCCTTGGTCTACAATAATTCAGCAGTAGCATTAACCCAAAATTGAATATAAACACCAAAATTTTTGGAAGTAAGAGATCCAAAGCTTAAGCTGTTAACGAATTTGAGGTAGTAGAAGCTAGTACCAATTATCATAGCAGCTCCTTTATCTTCCATAATGGGTTTTGACATTCACGGGTGGTATCAGCAAGTTATTTCCAATTCACGTGAACAGATCAATACATCCTGCAAAAATACAGATTTCAAAATATTGTCCAAGATCCATGAAGAAAGAGCATAAATAAGTGTCGCCCATTATGCATCATAAATACAGCTTTCATCAAACTTAAACAAAAACTACATAAAATGCATTCCAACTAGATATCTGAATTGACTAGTAGATCAGATATCTTCAACATAGTGGCAGAACAGAAGGTTATTTTAAACAGGCATACAGCTAAGAGGATGCTCTTAAGAAGAAAAAATGGTAGATACATAGAGAAAGAGCACTTGACCTACTATATTAGCATGCTCAATATGCTTTAAGAACTTGATGTTGCGACTAATCTATTCTAATTTTCAATTAAACTTACCAACTAACTTGTGTTTTCTAATAAAAACGGCTATCCCTCCATCTAATGTGTTGATGAAACCTATGTCATTCAGAATCTTCATTTCACTTGGACACATGCTCATGTCTAACAGAAGGACTCGAGTCTAACATAGATACATTTCATTGCCATAAGCATGATCCTTGTGAGAAACATTAAGTTCAAAATGAAGAATACGGACACAAGATGACAAGAAATACAAAGTGTTTCCTTCATAACTAAATAAACTCATTACGAGCTGTTCACGGCCCCAATATGCTCACTAATCATATAGTCCTTGCCCCGTACCCCAAATTCTACGCAAAAACAACAAAACCCAAATTACAACTTTAATAAGCAATTAGCATCATATAGCTTCAATCATCACACAATATCAAGAGCATCAACGTAAAGCATAGAAATTGAACATACTGTATACAGCACATAGCAAATAAAAAATAATAAAAAACTCAAATCATCGACATCAATTAAACCCTAATAATTACAATATAACCACAAATTAGAGTATTTACCCTTAAATAAGTACATATTCAACTCAAAACAACTCAACAACTCAAAATTACGAACCATCAACAAAAATGCAACACTGATTGCATATAATCAAATAAAAACTACTCTCTAATATTACAATAAACTCCAAAAATATTTAGTTTTTATTAATCATTTGATTCAAATAACCATGATAATTTCCACAATCATCATATTACACTATGCTTGCATTTCAATAGTAAGAGCAACAAAACAATTTACGACGAAAGAAAAATCAAAATAATTCCAAAATTTTCAAAAGTATGATCAACAATAATATTATTAAAAATAATTAAAACAAGAAAGAAAGATTATCATAAAATTACTCAAAAAAAAAAACATTATGAAGAACAAATTCAAAGGAATTAGCGAGAGAATCATACAATTCGACGCAATGAGAAGACGAAGATTAGGAGAGAGAAAAGTACCGAGTAATGAGTAGAGTTTGCGAGTAGGAAGTACGGTGGAGAAATGGAGATGATGGTGCATTAATGGTAATAACTACTGTATGTTTTTCATTTGCCGCCATTGTCGTTGTGAGAAGTTTGGAGGTGGTGGGGACGTGGGGTACGTGGCAGTCATTTTTGATTGATACACATTTAAAATTGCTTAATTTTTTTACAAAAAAATTTCACCCTCATAACACAAAAATTGCAAATTAAAGGGTAATCTTGTAATTAAAGTCAACAAAAATGCTCAATCTTTCATCATACAAAAAAAAAAAGGAAAAATACACTTTATTAATTTCAATTTTGTCCAATTACTTTGAACAATCGCAACTATCAATTATTCTGCAATAATCTCAACTTTCATTTCCTTTTTCTTCTTACAATCCCAAACCGGTCAACAAAAGTCAACCACCTTTTATTGTAGTTTGTTGGACACGTGTCGGCATGTGAGTGGTCCAAAAAAAATTTTAAAAAACAAAATAAAAGAAAGAAAATAAAAGAAAGAAAAGAAAAACTAAGTCAGTCACCCCTTCCAACCCCAATCGCCACCCTACCCCTGCCGCACAACGGCACTCCATTCCCCACCACCTAACTAGGAACGACCCCACTCCCCAACCCCACCACCAAAACCGGCCAAAACCCTAAACCCTTGCTCTTGAAACCACCCCCAACCCCCAAAACCGCCCATGGATGTATAAGTTATGGGCGATTTTTAGGGGTGGGGGTGGTTTCAAAGGGCAAAGGTTTGGGGTTTTGGCCGGTTTCGGACGTGGGGCTAGGGAGGGGTGGTTGTTTCCGGTTGTGTGGTCAAGGAAAGGGCGGTTTGGGGGGTGCAGTTATGCGGTAGGGGATATGGGGTGGCAATTGGGGCTAGAGTAGGTGGTTGTTGGGGCCGGTTTTGGAGGCGGCGGAGGGAAGGTGTGGTTCCTGGTGGGGCTAGGAAGGAAGGGATAAGGCTCTGGAAGGGGGGACAGTTTCCCGATGTCCGGAGTTGGGAAGGGGGTAGCTTTGTTTTTTTTTTTAAATGTTTTTGAATTTTTTTTTTTTGGACCAATCAAAGTATGACACGTCGTGGCATCTTAATAAATTTAAAAAAAAAATAAAAAATCAGCAGAGAACCCGTTTTTGAGATTGATAGAAGAAAAAGGAGGTGAAAGTTAGAATTATTGTAGAATAATTGGTAGTTGGGATTATTCAAAGTAAATTGGACAAATGTGAGATTAATAAAGTGTATTTTTCCAAAAACAAAAAATAAAAACTGCTGATTAATATGGCTTTTAATAAATCAACACTTAGTTGTAAATTAAGTAAGTGTGGGCTCATTAATAAAATATATCTTTTCTATCTATAATCTATTATATAATATTACTAAAATATAATTGTTGACGTCATCCTTTCCCCTAAGTGTGCACATGTTAAGTTGTGGTAGAAAATTTTCCTGCCTTAAATATATGTGATGTTAGCATTTTTTTTTAAAATAAAATTTTAGTCAACTATTTCACTAATACTCCAATTTTCCAAAAAAAAATAAATATGCATGTGTAATTTTTATTTTCTTTATAATTTGAAAATTTAGTGTATTAATTAATATTCAAAGTTATTCTAATATTTTCGCAATTGTGACAATATAACAAATTATTTGTCAAAATTGTGCATCGCACGAGATTAATCTAGTAATAACTAATACTAAAATAACAACCGCTGGTATCATTTTGTTCCCAAGCTATACACATGTCATTATCTTATAAAATTATTCCCGCCTAAATGCAATGCAATGATGACAATCACTTTTTGTGATTAATCTAATTACACTTTCTTCCAAAAAAAAAAAAATTAATTCCCAATAAAGTCTTTC